AAGCGTAAATGTTTTAACACAAATAAAGTGTATAATAACCCTCAAATAGTATAACATGACAAAAGAAAACTACCTACCCTTGAAATTATGAAAATCGATTGTTGCACACAATAAGGAAGACAACCAAACAGATAAACAGATATGGTGACAGCGCGAAGGATAACGTACTCATGATTTTATAGATAGGTTTTAAACTAAATTTGTTTTCGAATTTTACATTGGTTTCCTGTTAAGACTATTGCTATAAAACATAACTCGAATTAAAGAAAACAAGCTTTTACGATAATCAAAAGTCGCATTAGGTGAAAACTCGATATATTCAGTGATTTCATCATCGTTCTTTCGACCTTTCTCCATCGTGTTTGGATATGAAGTTGTGCATCTATGTTTTTTTGCTTTTGGACTATCATACAGGTATCCTTTTTAATTTTATACAAAATGTTTTAAATACAAATTTGCTTCTGTATCGCAATACGCCTTTATATAAATTATCTTCAGAGGGTATGCTGAACAGGAAGACAAAACTGCTCTGGTGAAAACTCAAGGGTATAATGGTGTAATAACGAAACAACGACGGATAAAAGTAAAAAAATACGACGGTGTAAAGTCGAAAGTAGGATAATGAAAATTCGAAATTACAACACAACGAAATCACGCTGATGAAAGTCGATGGGGGAAAACAGAAAATAATATCAAGCATATAAGCTAGGGTCATCAACTATACAGAAATTTGGTCACTTTGTGTAGTTGTGCACCTAGGGATTTGATAGTGGATTTATTGCGTTTTTTTAAGAGAAATTGTCTAAGACTAATGCAGGCGTCACACTGTCCCGAATTCGGCATTAGATGGACACACGACTGTAATGTTCAAATTCGGATCTTATCGTAATAAAATCGGGCCATTCGTGAAGGCATCTTTTGCCATCGTATGACCCCGGCTTAACTTTTCAGGCTCCGGCAGCAACTTCGTGAGTGATTGTAAAATTTTTAGCATGCCAAAATATTGCCGGAAGACATTGCGAAGGTTCGTTTTCGTGTTGAATTCGTATGCCAATTTTGCGCTTCGTAAGGCCAACGTGAAGCCATTTGGTCAAATCGTGTAGTCTTCGTCTTTACTTCGTGTGATCATCGATGCAATCTAGTATTTTTCGCCTCAAGAAGACAATACGAAGGAAACACGAAGATTACAGATTGTCTTTAGAAGGGACTATGACTACGTGAGGCCGGCGCAATACCTTCTTGTCTCGTATTTTGGTACGAAGTCATCGAGATGGGACCACGATGAGGTCGGAGCAAATTTGAGTGGCTCAAGCGTGGGATGTCTATCATGGTGGACATATAAAAGCCTAGCCTCAGACCATCTTACTCTGTCAGTCTTGCACATCTTTTCAAAGAAATCAAATTATTTGCAATTAATTAACAATAATGTTTAGTTTATTTCCTGCATAATAACATGATTTTAATGATGAGTCATCCCCCCCCCCCAAAAAAAAAAAAAAAAAATAAAGGCAGCAGGATTGCTACTTTTTGTACACATTAGAAATCATGATGAGCAACACCTTAAGGCCCACTTTGGGTGGCATGATAAAGTTCAGTCAAATGTGATAAACAAGATAAACAAGTAAAGGCGGTGTTTAATGAACGCAACCCTCCAGCAACAAGAACCAGTGGCAGGACAGGGCGCAAGGCAGAGCACGGAAGACTTATCATGAAAATTATACATAAGAAAAAAATAATAGTTATCGACAAGGAAATCAAAGAAAACAAATAAATGATTGATTATTAGGCCCAAAAAGCAAAGAGCACAGGGAAATACGATAGGAGATTCGGGGAAGGGAGGGGGAATATAAAGAAATAAAATTTGAGGCAAAAGGGATGATACTTACCGTAGACGATAAACAAACAAGGGACACAGACAAATGTGTCACCAAAACAGTATGAAAAAACAAAGACATATATCTAAGGAACACAGAGGGGCGCTGCCTTGGACCGGTCAGCAGCATAAGTACTGCTGGGGAGTTTAAACCGGTTAATGGTGCATAAAACCTCACACTTAGCCCCACCATGTTCCTATAGAACGAGACGGTGTTATTAAAATAAATCCCTGCCAAGTGAAATTCTAACAGTTGTTATGGTTACAAAAGATGAAAACACCGAAATTATCATGTAGAGACATATAAATGAAAACCCACTGACAATAACAAAAGTACTGAATATATTATAGGAAGACAGAGTAACAAGAAAATCACGTACAAAGCAAGGCAGAAGAAGAACATTAGGGCAATTTAGTCCCAAAGGGCTTTGAGGTCCATCATAGAGTCTCCCACCTGATCCTTCAGATGAAATCAAAAGAGGAAAGCGTAGCGTCCAACATGTAAAGTGTTAAACACTGAGCATGAGGTATATCTTAAAATAGTAGGGTCATTACCTCTTTAAATAAAACGTTTGATAACGTTTGATAATTTTAGTAAAGACAACAGAAAAATTACGATGACCGGAGGTCTAACGCAGTTTGTAAGTAACATCCCCATAAAAACATAGGCTGGCTATCCCTTGTCGCAGAAGTGTTTTTAAATAACTATTAGATTTTAAGATTAAATCAAAAATAAGATTGTATATTTTGTAATATGGTAATCTTTGAGTAGCTTGCTAGTAATGAAAATATTTCGCTCGTTAATATCCTATGCTACAAGCTCTTGCGAATCTAATTATCTGAGATACATATACCCCGTAAGAAGATGCATGCGGCCCACACGGAGGTCACTTGACACCTTCGTAGGCACGTGCGAACGCATCATACGAAAACTACGAGGTCGTGTACCTATCCCGTGACCTTCGCGTGTCCTGAGGGTAAACTACTTTGTAAAAATTTGCATCTTTGAGGTGACTTTGTGTGTTGATCGGATGCCATCGCTTGACCTTCGGTAGGAATCGTGTGAGGATCGGATGCGATCGCGTGACCGTCTGTAGGAATCGTAATTAATTCGGCTGTTGAGATGCTGTCGGCCAGTGTCGGGGCCATCTTCGCGCGAAAATCAAAATTCTATATTTGAATGTCCATCTGGTGTCAATTTCGGGACAGCGTGACGCCTGCATAGCTAAAACCCATTCCAAAATGTATTTGACATGAATTCATGAAACTTTACAGGACTGTTGATCAGCATGTGTAGTTGTGCATCTGGGACTCTGTTTGTTTATTTTAAGCATACTGTCTGATATAAAATATCTGATGCTTAATATTGGTCATTACGTCAACATTTGGATATCGTTTTACGCCCTAACTCCTTAGGGGTAAAGGGGAGTCATTTAGAATTATCTTTTTCTGTCCTTCTGTCATACTGTTCTGCTGTACGTCAGTTAACTGAAAAGAAAACAGTATGAGGGAATCAGTGTCCTATCGACACATTTCTAGTTCAATCTGTAATTGATTCTTTGTTTTTAAAGCACATTATGCCTCATGAATAAGATTTTATTCCTTCTTTAGAAAGTTCTAACATGAGTTTAATAAAGATTTATAAGCTTATTACATGATATGACATAACGAAAATAACGTTTAATAAGGAATTATCTTTCACCAAAAAAAATTAGTACTCGTATATAGACTTTGATACAAATGACATTATCATTATAAATGAACTAATTTCCAAAAGAAACAGAGGTTAACGGAAAATTAATGACTTATTTTGGAAACTTAAAATAAGGCACCAAACTATAAAGCCTTTTAGAAATGCAAATCATAGCAATGTTGGATTCGTGGGCTTTTAACAGATGATGTTCATGTATGTATTGGGTACAGTTTTTAAAATGTTATACATTGTTCAAATTGTTAAACTTTCGAATCTAAGCATTAAGGACAGGTTATTTAAAGTTTTGCATGTTGTCAAAATACCACTTTGTTGACAGTTTGCTACTTTAATGATAAATTATATCATATATAGAGCAGTATTCTTCAAATGTTTATTATCTAACATGCTCTTAATCCAATAAATAATAAACAGATTAAAACATGTTAGCTGAAGGAAACTAGTATTTATTTCTTTGGCTCAATGCGTCGTAAAGGTACGACTATAAACAAATATTACATCTATTTTAAGGACAATATATCAATGACAAAATAATATAAACCTTTTGATAGCTTAATGATTGTGTCTTGTTAATAAATAAAAGAATGCATCTCCCTATAGTGTTATCTTGTTGCAGCTGAACAATGAACGACTGTAAAGATTTTATCAAAGAGACGAGATACAGAAACTGGGTGAAATGTACCTTAGGAATAGAACAAACAAGCAAGGCAGTATGTGAATACGTCAGCAGGAAATTTTCAATGTATTTAGAACGTACAGCTACACTTAACAACCCTGTCATGCAATCTTACCTGACCGAGGACGAATTTTCCCATTTTCGAGATGAAATAAATTCAGAATTTCGATATAATCTGAAAAAATTTGTCAGATTAAAAAATGAAAAATGGTATTGGTCAGGGAGGTGTCAAAAATGTCAGTGTACATTAGCAAAACTACTATGTTTACACAAAAGTCAAAAAGATATCCATTGGAAGAACTGTGACGACACGCGAACACTTTCACCTGAATGGGCCCTCGCAAAGATCTTTATGCCAATGGGCAATGAGAAAAACAAAGGACCAGATGATACTGACCCTAGTGCAATTTTCATCGTAATGAAGATGTGTGATTTGTTCATGAACCCAATTAAAGCAGGAAACATTAACGGGGTAAGTAACAAAATCATATATATAACAAACATGAAATACCCGCTTCAAATACCCTTTCAAAATGTACGGAATAAACAAAGTTTTACAGCTTTGCTGGACTTTCTCTAGCGAAATATCATTTTTGGCAAATAAATGTAATCATATTAAAATAAAAAGATTATTACCATACAAAATAAACTTCACCGTAAAGTAAATGTAAATATCAACTTCCTTTCTTAGATTTAATTTAACATTTTATATAACGATTTCAGATTATAGATGCTAGAAACGAGCTTTTCCACTCGCCTGACAGTTTAGTAGAACCTGGCGACCTGGAAAGCTATTTTAAACATATGGAAAACCTTGTCTCGGATGCTTTAAATGACCCGGACAATGACGAAGACTTAAAACGTAGTATCGGTGATAGCCATAACAAAATTGTTAAGGTAATTTTACAAATATACGCCTCAATGACAAGCGTCTTCTTTGTCATGCTTTCGTTTACTGTGTTTCATTAGAAAGTAAAAACACACGACGCCAGTGTTCTAGTGAGAATGCTTCTTTTTTTAATCTGGAAACACATTCTCACTACAACACTGACGTCCTGTATTTATAGAGAGTATCTTTAACAATTGCATTAAACAAACACAGATCAATGACATTCAATAATATGTATTACTAAACTTAATCAAAAGCATGACAGCAACGTACTTATGGTTAATTATGCTGAACTGAAGAACATGCACATTACCTCTGAAATGAATGTTTTTCCATATTGTGAGTATCATGTCCTTACACCACCTAAATGTGCCTGAAACAGTGACTAACTGTTTAACCTATTACTAATTGAATTAAAAATGGCGGACAAGGTGTGTTAGATCTTTTTTGTACAGGAAGATTTGGAGTTTTGTACTGGAATAAATAGTCGTATTTTGAAATTAACTATGTAAAACTGGACATAAAGTGACTGTTGTTAAATAGAAATGTGAATTTGATGGATTTAAAAACCTGGATTAATTATAAACTAGTTATCTATGGAAGACAGGTAAACAGGTGAAAAAAGTCGATACTATACATGTACTATACTGTTATATATAGTAGATGTGACCTAGTTGTGACCTAGTTATTTATCGGTCAGTTTACAGTGGACAATTGAACAATAAAACATAATACATTATACATTAAACATTATACGCGTTATACGTGTTATATGTGATGGCTGATAAACCTAATACGTACAACTACACGTTAGAAATTGCAAATCTAGGGACACCAGACAACCGTCCCAAACGAAACTATTCTGGCGTTGTCAGTCCAAGCGATACGTCTGGCGATCCACCCGCTACCAGAATAAGGGAATACACGAGTCCGAATGCCGGTGATGAACAGGATATAGCAGGTAGGGTTCAGGTTCCAGCGACGATGTAACTTTTTCCCATCCTAAAACATCTCTACCCAGCGATAAGACCGATCCTCCTCCCGCTGACGGCGCATCTGGGGTCAATGCTCAGGATACTGGTAGTTTGATCAATAAAAAACCTAATTATGAGCAGATCATTATTGATATATGCAATGATAAGACAAATGTTGATCACCCAATATCTACTTACGACATAGATACGGAAATATACAGCTCTTGTGCAAATTTAGAGATACAAAAATAAGTAGACGAGTGTTCCTCCACAAGCGAAATTTAAAATATAAAAAATCAAATGATTTCAAAGTGTTTCTATCAGATGACCTAACTCAAAAGCGTCAACAAATGGTCAAAGCATTGGAGGAAGCCAGAAAAGCAAATAAAATGTTATTGCTTCCCATTGGACCGTAGATGGTAGGATTTTCTACAAAGTGAAAAAACAATCGTGTAAAACCTTGTTGACTGATATAAATGAAATAGGTGAACTATATACACTTCACGCAACGGAACAGAGATCCAGTCGATAGACAATCCCTTAGTGCTTTACAAACTTTTCATGATATGTACACGCTTTTGACAGTGTCAATACTTCTATAATAATAATGCATATTTGTGTTTCATGATGTAAAATATGTGTTTTTTCATGCATGTACGGATTTAGCATTGTTTATGCTACTACTGCTTTATTAAATTATTACTGACCCCGCACGTTCCCCCCTCTCGAACCGCTCGCTCCACCACCTCCCCAATTTTACTACCCATGAATATATAAATAAATAAATAAATAAATTAATAAATAAATAAATAAATAGATGAATAAATATATAAATAAATGGATGTATGAATAAATAAATAAATAGATAAAATATTAGTACATGTTTATAATAAAGCGTCTTATGTTTAAAAAAATATTTATGAAATATATCCTTAACATATGTCCTACCTATATTATCGAAACGGTTACATTTTATATCCAGTAATACTTGGTCACCACTCTTGATTAAATCAAAACACAACGCAAAATTAAAATGTGTCACAGCTTGCTTACCACGTGGTTATGTTTACCAATGCTATTTATATTCGGCTATTTATAGCGATTTTTTATCGTTATAGTGCACGATCTCTATTTATAGAAAAACCAATAAAAGTAGCACATTGTATTATTTTTATGTGCAATATCGATAAGATAAAGGTACTCCACTGAGGTATGGTCGAATGTCACAAAAAAAGTAAAGTTTCACGAACCGATAAATTTTGTTACCTGCGTGTTAAGGACATTTATACAGAATCAGTGATACATTGATATGTCTTCTTTGGCTTGGCGATTCGTTTGAAACATATGTTATCTCCAATTTCGTGGGAAAAGCGTTTAAACGCCTTTCAGTTTGCAAATCTGAATGTAAACATCGGTCACGTGACGAGTTTCAGGAGGACTAAAAAGCGAAACGGAGAATTTTTTGTGTATCGGCAGCAACGAAAGTGCGAAGGTGGAACATACAAACAATGCATAAATTTAAGAGCAAATTATGGGTTTGTTTGTTAAATTTCTTGTTGTGCACATATGTTCTTGTTATTAAAATCATTCAAACGCAATTTCAATATATTGTAATCATGTTTTTTTTTACTCCGTTACAATGATGAATTTAGCCAAACGTACGGAATTTGAAACTGACATACACAAACTTTACAAATATTCTATATTAAATTGAGTGTTTTTGTGTAATTAATAAATATTATGTATTAACTTTAATATGGTTAAAATATCAAGTTATATAGGCTAAGAACATTTCGTTTATCAAGACCGTGTGATGGGTCCTATTTCAAAGGTCACTTTTATTTATCTGACACCCGTTCAGAAAAAAAAACACTGTAATACCTTTTGTACAAGTCAACGAACAAAAAAGCATCAAAAATCACACCACACACACAATTTCATTCCAGAGAAAACGATTCCGTTTCCTCTTTAACTCGGATCAAAGCACTGAAAGCACTGGCTTCATGCCACATTATAGGACAATTAGGCGTCAACTTTATCAGTAAGTAATTTGTTTGTATGTGAAGTGCATATAATTAAATTCTACAAGAAAAAAATCGATGTCCTAAATAGATCTGAAATTTTATTTTTATCATTTTACACACATACTTGCATATTTATCCGGATAGGATGTAAACTTTGTTGATAAGAAGATTTCTATCTATCATTAATATTACTATTATCATTTTTGATTGTATGCTTGAGCAGATATCTTGATAAATTTCTTTTTTATTGGAAGGCCTCCCTACTAGTGATGGGCTTTAATGTTATCAATATATTGAAGCTTCCCGGTGGAAAAGAAATTGAGAGCGGTGTAAGGGTAAAAAAGGAAAACTGAAATAAAAATCAACAAGGCGACGACAACGTTCATAGGACGCAGCCCCCGACACACTCAAGCTGCCATAGCAGGGTTATTGCCATTACTAGTGAAATAAACTTAAAGCTGATTATATAGTTGTTGTTTTTTAAACACTAACTTTATTTCAAATTTAACGAAACAAACAAAATAATGATATTTGCAAGACAAAAGTGAAGGGCAGGTAAATAAAAGTAGCTTTAAGAAGAATTCAGTAAGATATTAACCTGACCTATTACAACAATTATTGTTTAAACTATGTTTTAAAATACTTCCAACTCCTAGACGGTAAATAAACTTGGAAAAGGGGCGATGCATATCTTAACCAGGGTTTTTACTCCTAATAGCCTGTTTTATCATGACATACTCATTTTTAATAGTTTTGTAAATATTTTAATTTGATAAAAAACTTCAAAGTTCAGGTTCATTTCCCGACTATCTTGTTAAGACACGAGTGACTGGTTTCAAAAAATGCAATGGATAAATATTGATCGGGTGCATTTGATTGCATAGATAAGTAAGTAAGATAACACTACTTTTCCTGTTTTATAGCACTGAGATCTTTACTTTTCTCGTCTTTTTTAACCCTACTTTTATCTATTCTTTCTTTCTGTTTTTCTTTTTCTTTTGTTTTCTCTTTTAATTTTCCACTTGAAAGCCTGAAATTAAAGTTTTCATTAATAACTTAGCTGTGACCCTGTGTTGCTTGGTCATATGGATGTTGCGTTCATTGAATGCTACTATTCCTTGTTGATCTTGTTTTTCGTATGTATGTTTTGGAGATAAGGTGGGTGGTACTCTTAATACTTTTGAGATAGTGTATCAAAAACCTTTGTAAATTGTTTCGAAAATACTGGATATCGTTTTGAATAGAGCTACTGTAGTATTTTAAACACATGAACGAAAAAATGGGTCATTCAATGGGCATGCTCTGGAGTAAAGGTAACTAATACCTGCACTCCAGTTACGCACTGTGCATGTATGTGAATACGATTTAACTCTGACACGTTTTCAACAGAAAGGTCCCCGAACTATATTATAATAATGTTTATGATTCTATTAGAAACTTGTTTAGAATTTAATGATTTTTCGGTGAAAACGATACCTACAGATAAGATCAAAGTGCTGAAGACACTGAAAAAAATACACTAACACATTGTCACTCCAGTTTCACAGGTAAATGAATTCTATATGTCAGGTTTTACGTCTTAATATCAGTATACATTTGCTTATTGAGACTTTTGCTTTTGAAAATAATGTAAACGAGTAAAATAAACCCTCCTTTATGGGCAAATAATGTAATGAGTAGCATCCCCGAATTCTCTTTCATAAATTTACTTTATCAAATTCTTTTCTTTTCAAATATTAAGAACATTCTGTCTACTTCTTGAAATCTTCCTTAGTATAAATACGAAGGTGCGTTATCTTTCGGTAACAGGAAGAAAATGACAGTCTCTTCATTTGATCATGACTGTGAAAGAAATCATGTTTTGTGAACATAGTTATCCTGTCGATAAAAATTTTGCAAGAAATCTTGTGTACCTGTCTTATGTTTTAGTGCTAACACTTAGTATTTATTTCCAAAGAAAATTTTCTTAGGCACTTTTAGCGTTTGATAACAGTATAATCACTATAACCG